ATGAGAGTTATGTTCACTCCAGTTAAGGGGAAGTGACTGTTTTTCTCCACCATGGCTAGGCCCTTTTCATGTCTGGGGTTTCCGTCTTTGCTTCAGTTGACCTTTTTTCTCAGCTAAACATCCTCAATGCCTTCCTCTGTTCCTCCTATGAAGGGGATCCCTGTATTGTCCTCTCTCTGGGTAGAGGGTAAGACTATTCAGTGTCCTTACTTTTACTTCATGTTTGATGAGCTGATAAACTGCTTGTTCCCATCTATGTGGGTCAGATCCTCTGCTGTGGATATGATGGACTATGTGGGCTTTTAGGAAAAAAGAATTCACGGACCAGACAGGCAGCACATCTGAGTCTGTCATAAGCTATCTAAAAGCCAGCGGAGAGATGATGAGTTGGCTTCTAACTTATCACAGTGGTGTAGCTCTCTTCTATTCTTCTTTTAACCTATGGCATCCACATGCTTGCTTACACCTGGGAGTCTTATAAAACTTGTGTGTACAGAACTTGTTTCTCTAAACGAGCACCCTTTTTTCATGGTAGAGAAAGAAGAGGAATACGTTCTCTTGCAGTCAGAATTGAACTTAGTTCCCAGACTTTGTCTACTGCTTATTTTCATGAAACATGCTATTTGCTCTTATATTAATAGAATTGCTGGTTGCACTTTAATTTAGGTGGCTGTTGTATAAACCATCAGGCATTAGGAACATGCTCTCTAGTCTGCTAGAGAACCTCCTTAGATCGCCTTTTCCTGCCTCACCTGTGCTCATTACATTCCTGCCCACGTTGCTCCAGGCAGAGGGTGAGAACTTTGGAGGGAGATATCAAGGTGATGAATGAAAGACTGGACAACTGGACCAGTGATCAGTCAGAGCGGAAGACTACAGTTGGTGGTGTAACTGATTTCTGTCCCGCTCTGCATCCATTAAAATGGTGCAGGGTTTAGATTTGCTAATGGAATCACAGAATACTTGCTGGTCAGAATCTTTGCAGTCTTGTTTCCAATCTTTTCATTTTATAGAAGAGAAATCAGAAGTTCAGGGAGGTGTCAGTCTGGGAGTAGAATGTGAGTCTCTTGACTCTGATCATCAGTGTCTTCTTAGTCATGGTGTAGTAAAAGTTGGGGGGACAGAAGAGAAAAGAGCAGGGATTTTGGAAAGACCATTGGTCTGGGAGTCAGGAAACTTCTGTTCTAGTACCATTTCTGTCATCAAACATCTGCATGAGTTTAGGAAATCAATTTCCCTCCTCTCAGCATCAGTATCTTTTTTTAATTGAGAAGTTCTACTGCGTGGTTGCTTTTTTTCTAGCATTTACTGATGCTTGCTATGAGCTATAGATCCTGTGCTAAACACATAACTATATTTAACCTGTAAATGATTTTGAGGTGCATTCTGCTATTGTATCATTTTACAGATGAAAGGTCTGGAGAAGAGAGGTTAAATAAATTGCTCAAGTTTCCAGAGCTAATAAGTGGGAGAGTTTGGGCCATAACTCGAGAGCACACCCAGTGGGTGGAAGGTAAACATGGTGTGTGTGTCCACCAATAGAGGAGTTTCTGTTTCTGCGATATTTACCAGGACACCAAGGAGGATATTCAGTGTGAAAGGCTTAGAGACACTGAATTGCATCCAAGGAGTAAATATAAAGTATAGGTTTGGGGTAAATGTGTTGACCACTGGTATCAATTGTGCAGATTATTGAAAATAAAAGCATTTTATTACTCAGCGACCAGGCTCAGGCTGCATAGCTCTTAGTTCACAGATCTCAAAGCACTTACCAGTCACTCCATCTTCATAAAATGCTTTTGTTCGCTGTCATTTACAATCACATTTCCCTGATTGCCTCCTCAAGTTAAAATTTTTTTCTTTCCACTTTCAGAGAAAAGAGGCTAGATATAATAGGCAATATTATAATAGTCAGTTCATCATGAAAGAATTGATTTGAGATCTATTACGGACAGGCAAGCAAAAGTGAAATTTTAATGAAGGCTTTTGAGCAACAGTTTTTCCTCTTTGATGCCTCAATATACTGACAGTTTGTCATTTTTAATAGGGTTTATATTTTGCACTGTCGTTATGCTGGCTATAGCACCATATATTCCCTCCTATGAGCTGATGTCTCAAATAGAGTTATACTCCAGGTTTCCTACCTCCCAAGGGAAAATATCTATAGTGTTACTTCTTGAAGTGTGTGATTTTTATAAAGCAGTAGTCCTCAAACTTTTTTTTTTATTGAGGAATAGTTTACATGTAGTAAAGTACACAGATCTTTAGTTCAACAACTTCTGATAAATATATTCACCTGGATTATCATCATTCAAATTGAGATACGAAACATTTTTTAATCTTTGAAAATTCCCATGTACCCCCTTTCTAGTCAGATCCTCCCACCCAAGACAACCATCGTAGATACATTCTTTTGGTTTATTGTTTGACTTCATGTGAATGGAATAATTAGGCAGTATATTGTTTTGAGATTCATCTGTGTTGTTGCATGTATTCATAGCTTTCCGCATTTTATTTGTAATATTCATATGCTATTATATGAGCATACCATAGTTTATCTACTTACCTGTTGGTATATATTTGGGTTGTTTCCAGTTTTACTACAAATATTCATGTACAACTGTTTGTGTGGACATGCACGTTCATTTCTTTTGGGTATAAACCTCGGAGTGAAATTGTTGGGTCATAGGGTATGAACGTAGGCTTCCTAGGTGATGCTAGTGGTAAAAAACCCACCTGCTAATATCGGTTAGACATAAGAGACACGGGTTCCATCCCTGGGTTGGGAAGATCCCCTGGAGGAGGGCACAGCAAACCACTCCTGTATCCTTGCCTGGAGAATCCCATGGACAGAGGAGCCTGGTGGGCTACAGTTCATGGGGTTGCACAGAGTTGGACACGACTGAAGTGACTGAGAAGCAACATCATCAGGGTATGTGTGTATTTAACTGTCCTCAAACTTTCGTATCCTGGTCCTCCCTACTAAAATTAGTTTGAGAGATTTGCTAATATAATACATATCTCTCTGGGGTACGATGTTCCTGATATCCAGGATCTGATTTATTTTGAGGGGGATTAACTTTGAGTCCATTCAGATCATGAAGACATCCTTTCAGCTAGACAGCCAGTTAATTTTTGATTAAGTGCTAGTTAATACATTTATCTGTAACGAGTCTGAGATATCTAAGTCCCGAATGCTGGGGATACAAAGACGTGTGGTTCCTACTCTACCAGAGCCCATAGTCAGGTGGGAAACAGTCATGTGAACAAAATGCTGCAGTGGCTAGTGTGCTGGAGGGGCATTTTTCTCCACCCGTGGAAATCATGAGAAACTTTACAAAGGGAAGGCAACCGAGCTTAGTCCTGAAGGATGTGTAAGAGGTTCAGCAGGTGGCAGGGATGTGAGCCATTGCAAGGGATGGGAACTTATAGCTTGACACACGAGGGGAACTGCACATTCGAATGACTGGTATCAACCTCTGAAGGTGGGCAAAAGTTGGATCGTGAGAGGTTTTGCAAGCTCTTTGAACTCATGATTAAAGACACAGTGATCTTGTCAAATGATAACAGTATCATAAATTACTATTGGCTGCCCTGGTAAAGAGAACCCTTCATAAATCCCGACTTTTGATCAACCATCGCATCACTTTGGATTACCCAAGGTGTCAAGAAACCTTATATTCTCTGGCCACACTGTGGACTCAGGCAAAAGGTCTCCTCTTTTGAGATCACTGCTCTCCATGAGGACAATCTTGCCTATGTCTCATCCTCCAGGGAAGAGACTGTTATCCTCAGCTATCCTCTCATACTCACATCCTGGGTATTAGCCAGGGAGTGTGAATAAGGGGGATCAGTCATCCTCAGGAGTGTAGGCTTTATCCCTTTCTCCTGCAAGCTAGATCACCAGGTTACCATGAGGATGACTGAATTAAAGGGGGTGAATGAAAATTACCACATACACAGGTGTCTGCTTCCCACTGGTCGTAATGTACTCCATACCCACACTCAGCTGCAAGGGAGTCTTGGAAATAGTGCTTATTCCAAGGAGCCAAGTGTCTCGCTAAAAGTTGGGAATCCATATAGCAACCTCTGCCACACATACATTATCTTACCTGATCCTTCCAGTGACACAGTCAGATGGGTGTCATTGACCCCGCTTACAAAGGGAAGTAAACCTCAAAATGTCACACAGGTGGCGGTGTCAGAACCAGATCCCATGCTGCCTGATTACTAATACCATGTCTGTCTCAATATGTTACATCCGCCCCCTGCCCCAAGTTTAGCAAGTACTTCACTTTCAGCAAGTGACAGTTATTTCTATTTCTGCAACCGTGCACAGTACACTTTAGAGCGCTGCTATCCTTTGGGTTAGTATTCAGTTCAGCTCAGTTGCTCAGTTGTGTCCTACTCTTTGAAACCCCATGGATACAGCACACCAGGCCTCCCTGTCCATCGCTAACTCTTGGAGTTTGCTCAAACTCATGTCCATAAACTCAGTGATGCCATCAAACCATCTCATCCTCTGTCATCCCCTTCCCCTCATGCCTTCAACCTTTCCCAGCATCAGGGTCTTTTTTTTTTTTTCATTTATTTTTATTAGTTGGTGGCTAATTACTTTACAGTATTGTAGTGGTTTTTGCCATACATTGACATGAATCAGCCATGGATTTACATGTGTTCCCCATCCCGATCCCCCCTCCCACCTCCTTCTCCATCCTGTCCCTCTGGGTCTTCCCAGTGCACCAGCCCTGAGCACTTGTCTCATGCATCCAACCTGGACTTGTGATCTGTTTTACCCTTGATTGTATACTTGTTTCAGTGCTATTCTCTCAGAACATCCCACCCTCGCCTTCTCCCACAGAGTCCAAAAGTCTGTTCTGTACATCTGCATCAGGGTCTTTTCAAATGAGTCAGTTCTTCGCATCAGGTGGCCAAAGTATTGGAGCTTCAGCTTCAACATCAGTCCTTTCAATGAATATTCAGTACTGATTTCCTTCAGGATGGACTGGTTGGATCTCCTTGCTGTCCAAGTTGACAAGAGTCTTCTCAAGAGTCTCCTAGAACACCACAGTTTGAAAGCATCAATTCTTCAGTGCTCACCTTTCTTTATAGTCCAACTCTCACCTCCACACATGACTACTGGAAAAACCATAGCTTTGACTAGACAGACTGTAGTTGGCAAAGTAATGTCTCTGTTTTTTAATATGCTGTCTAGGTTGGTGATAACTTTTCTTCCAAGGAAGTTAACTTTTAATTTCATGGCTGCAGTCACCATCTGCAGTGATTTTGGAGCCCCCCAAAATAAAGTCTGTCACTGTTTCCATTTTTTCCCCATCTATTTGCTATGAAGTGAAGGGACCGGATGCCATGATCTTAGTTGTCTGATTGTTGAGGATTAAGCCAACTTCTCCACTTTCCTCTTTTACTTTCATCAAGAGACTCTTTAGTTCTTCTTTGCTTTCTGCCATAAGGATGCTGTCATCTGCATATCTGAGGTTATTGATATTTCTCCTAGCAATCTTGATTCCAGCTTGTGCTCCATCCAGTCCAGCATTTCTCATGATGTCCTCTGCATATAAGTTAAATAAGCAGGGTGACAATATACAGCCTTGACATACTGCTTTCCCAGTTTGGAACCAGTCTGTTGTTCCATGTCCAGTTCTAACTGTTGCTTCCTGACATGCGTATAGATTTCTCAATAGGCAAATCAGGTGGTCTCATATTCCCATCTGTCTAAGAATTTTCCACAGTTTTTTGTGATCCACACAGTCAAAGGCTTTGGCATAGTCAATAAAGCAGAAGTAGATGTTTTACTGGAAATCTCTTCCTTTTTCTATGATCCAACGGATGTTGGCAACTTGATCTCTGGTTCTCCTGCCTTTTCTAAATCCAGCTTGAACATCTGGAAGTTCACGGTTCACATACTATTAAAGCCTAGCTTGGAGAATTTTGAGCATTAGTTTACTAGTGTGTGAGATGAGTGCAATTGTGTGGTAGTTTGGGCATTCTTTGGCATAGACTTTCTTTGGGATTGGGATTGGAATGAAAACTGACCTTTTCCATTCCTGTGGCCACTGCCGAGTTTTCCAAATTTGCTGGCATATTGAGTGCAGCACTTTCACAGCATCATCTTTTAAGATTTGAAATCGCTCAACTGGAATTCCATCACCTATACTAACTTTGTTCGTAGTGATGCTTCCTAAGGCCCACTTGACTTAGCATTCCAGGATGTCCTGTTCTAGGTGAATGATCACACCATTGTGGTTATCTGGGTCATGAAGATCTTTTTTGTATAGTTCTTCTGTGTATTCTTGCCATCTTTTCGTAATATCTTCTTATTCTGTTAGGTCCATGCCATTTCTGTCCTTTATTGAGCCCATCTTTGCATGACATGTTCCCTTGGTATCTCTAATGTTCTTGAAGAGATCTCTAGTCCTTCCCATTCCATTGTTTTCCTCTATTTCTTTGGATTGATTGCTGAGGAAGGTGTTCTTCTCTCTCCTTGCTATTTTTTTGAACTCTGCATGAAATGGAAATATCTTTCCTTTTCTCCTTTGCCTTTCACTTCTCTTCCTTTCACAGCTATTTGTAAGGCCTCCTCAGACAGCCATTTTGCCTTTTTGCATTTCTTTTTCTTGGGGATGGTCTTGATCACTGCCTCCTGCACAATGTCACCAACCTCTGTCCATAATTCTTCAGGCTCTCTGTCTCTCAGATCCAATCCCTTGAATCTATTTGTCCTTAGGCCACCTTTTATTACTACCGGCTTTTGCCATTGTGTTCAGGCTCATTTCCATTGCCCAGTACATGGATGCACACACGCTCAGTTGCTCACTCATGTCTGACTCCACAAGGACTGCAGCGCCTCAGGCTCCTGCGTCCACAGGATCTCCCAGGGAAGCATACTGGGGTGGTTGCCACTTTCTCGTCCAGGGGAATCTTCCTGACCCAGGGTTTGGCTCCACGTCTCCCGCATTGGCAGGCAGGTTCTTTACCACTGAGCCCCCAGGGAAGCCCTAGGCTGCCCTTTAGTTCTCAGGGTCACAGTTTTCAGCATCAAGCACCCTTTCTTGTACTTCAGGATGATTTCAGCCCTGTGACAAGAGCATTTTCTCTCCCAGGAAAAAGAGTCTACTTAAATATTTGAATTTCTTTTATCTGCACTGATTTCCAAAGTGAATCAAGTCAATGGTGTATGAAGGGCAATGGATACGCCCAATTCTTAATAATTGGATGGGTTTTCTCATTTTGGTCTTGTTAGTCAATTCAGTGCAGTACAATTAAATCAGGAGAAAGGGGGCATTCAGTTAAATGGCTTCATCCCCAGTCTCTAGAATTTCTCTTCTGCACTAGAATATTGCTGGATGAGAAATTTCCTTTTTTTCTGCCTGACATAGCCAATGTGCAGCAGCTTAATTAGTTTGAATGAGTTCCACTTCTATGGGGCCAAAGGTTATGAGATCATATTAGGAAAAGGTTCATATAGGTGATTGAATTATTTAATTAATAGGCTGATTAACTCATGTTAATCTGGCTCTGGAGGGGGATCACAACAATTGAGTGCTTTTTGAACTGCACTATATCCTTATTTTGCTCTTAAAAATCACCCTGTCCTGTGCCCGAGAATATACCATGGACACTAAATTAAATATTAATTTTCTGCAATTGAAATGCATTATCTTCCACTTGTTAATCTTCCTATAGTCAGTTAGATATTATCTGACTAGAAGAAAGCTCTTGGGGTCTACATATATTTTAAAAGCCCTCTTATTATGATCATAACATTTTAATTTCCCCTTTTAGGTCTTACCAAAGAAAACACAAGTCGAGAGTGTTTTGTACAAAAAGGTACATGACCATACAAACAGAATATTTTTTTTTAAATTAATTAATTATTTTTTTTATCACAACCATAGTGTATCTTTTTTTTTTTTTTTTACATGTATTCCCCATCCCGGTCCCCCCTCCCACCTCCCTCTCCACCCAATCCCTCTGGGTCTTCCCAGTGCACCAGGCACGAGCACTTGTCTCATGCACCCAACCTGGGCTGGTGAACTGTTTCACCCTAGATAATATACGTGTTTCAATGCTGTTCTCTTGAAACATCCCACCCTCGCCTTCTCCCAGAGTCCACAAGTCTGTTCTATACATAGGAGTCTCTTTTTCTGTTTTGCACATAGGGTTATCGTTACCATCTTTCTAAATTCCATATATATGTGTTAGTATACTGTAATGGTCTTTATCTTTCTGGCTTACTTCGCTCTGTATAATGGGCTCCAGTTTCATCCATCTCATTAGAACTGATTCAAATGAATTCTTTTTAATGGCCGAGTAATATTCCATGGTGTATATGTACCACAGCTTCCTCATCCATTCGTCTGCTGATGGGCATCTAGGTTGCTTCCATGTCCTGGCTATTATAAACAGTGCTGCGATGAACATTGGGGTGCACGTGTCTCTTGCAGATCTGGTTTCCTCGGTGTGTATGCCCAGAAGTGGGATTGCTGGGTCATATGGCAGTTCTATTTCCAGCTTTTTAAGAAATCTCCACACTGTTTTCCATAGTGGCTGTACTAATTTGCATTCCCACCAACAGTATAAGAAGGTTCCCTTTTCTCCACACCCTCTCCAGCATTTATTGCTTGTAGACTTTTGGATAGCAGCCATCCTGACTGGTGTGTAATGGTACCTCATTGTGGTTTTGATTTGCATTTCTCTGATAATGAGTGATGTTGAGCATCTTTTCATGTGTTTTTGTGCCATCTGTATGTCTTCCTTGGAGAAATGTCTGTTCAGTTCTTTGGCCCATTTTTTGATTGGGTCATTTATTTTTCTGGAGTTGAGCTGGAGGAGTTGCTTGTATATTTTTGAGATTAATCCTTTGTCTGTTGCTTCGTTTGCTATTATTTTCTCCCAATCTGAGGGCTGTCTTTTCACCTTGCTTATAGTTTCCTTTGTTGTGCAAAAGCTTTTAAGTTTCATTAGGTCCCATTTGTTTATTTTTGCTTTTATTTCTAAAATTCTGGGATGTGGGTCATAGAGGATCCTGCTGTGATTTATGTCGGAGAGTGTTTTGCCTATGTTCTCCTCTAGGAGTTTTATAGTTTCTGGTCTTACATTTAGATCTTTAATCCATCTTGAGTTTATTTTTGTGTATGGTGTTAGAAAGTGTTCTAGTTTCATTCTTTTACAGGTGGTTGACCAGTTTTCCCAGCACCACTTGTTAAAGAGGTTGTCTTTTTTCCATTGTATATCCTTGCCTCCTTTGTCAAAGATAAGGTGACCATAGGTTTGTGGATTTATCTCTGGGCTTTCTATTCTGTTCCATTGATCTATATTTCTGTCTTTGTGCCAGTACCATACTGTCTTGATGACTGTGGCTTTGTAGTATAGTCTGAAGTCAGGCAGATTGATTCCTCCAGTTCCATTCTTCTTTCTCAGGATTACTTTGGCTATTCGAGGTTTTTTGTATTTCCATACAAATTGTGAAATTATTCGTTCTAGTTCTGTGAAAAATACCGTTGGTAGTTTGATAGGGATTGCATTGAATCTGTAGATTGCTTTGGGTAGTATAGCCATTTTGACAATATTGATTCTTCCAATCCATGAACACGGTATATTTCTCCATCTGTTTGTGTCCTCTTTGATTTCTTTCAGCAGTGTTTTATAGTTTTCTATGTATAGGTCTTTTGTTTCTTTAGGTAGATATACTCCTAAGTATTTTATTCTTTTTGTTGCAATGGTGAATGGTATTGTTTCCTTAATTTCTCTTTCTGTTTTCTCATTGTTAGTGTATAGGAATGCAAGAGATTTCTGTGTGTTAATTTTATATCCTGCAACTTTACTGTATTCGTTGATTATCTCTAGTAATTTTCTGGTAGAGTCTTTAGGATTTTCTATGTAGAGGATCATGTCATCTGCAAACAGTGAGAGTTTCACTTCTTCTTTTCCTATCTGGATTCCTTTTACTTCTTTTTCTGCTCTGATTGCTGTGGCCAAAACTTCCAAAACTATGTTGAATAGTAGTGGTGAGAGTGGGCACCCTTGTCTTGTTCCTGATTTCAGGGGAAATGCTTTCAGTTTTTCACCATTGAGGGTGATGCTTGCTGTGGGTTTGTCATATATAGCTTTTATTATGTTGAGGTATGTTCCTTCTATTCCTGCTTTCTGGAGAGTTTTAATCATAAATGGATGTTGAATTTTGTCAAAGGCTTTTTCTGCATCTATTGAGATAATCATATGGTTTTTATCTTTCAATTTGTTAATGTGGTGTATTACATTGATTGATTTGCGGATATTAAAGAATCCTTGCATTCCTGGGATAAAGCCCACTTGGTCATGATGTATGATTTTTTTTAATATGTTGTTGGATTCTGTTTGCTAGAATTTTGTTAAGGATTTTTGCATCTATGTTCATCAGTGATATTGGCGTGTAGTTTTCTTTTTTTGTGGCATCTTTGTCTGGTTTTGGAATTAGGGTGATGGTGGCCTCATAGAATGAGTTTGGAAGTTTACCTTCTTCTGCAATTTTCTGGAAGAGTTTGAGTAAGATAGGTGTTAGCTCTTCTCTAAATTTTTGGTAGAATTCAGCTGTGAAGCCATCTGGTCCTGGGCTTTTGTTTGCTGGAAGATTTCTGATTACAGTTTCGATTTCCTTGCTTGTGATGGGTTTGTTAAGATCTTCTATTTCTTCCTGGTTCAGTTTTGGAAAGTTATACTTCTCTAAGAACTTGTCCATTTCTTCCAAGTTGTCCATTTTATTGGCATAGAACTGCTGGTAGTAGTCTCTTATGATCCTTTGTATTTCAGTGTTGTCTGTTGTGATCTCTCCATTTTCGTTTCTAATTTTGTTAATTTGGTTCTTCTCCCTTTGTTTCTTAATGAGTCTTGCTAATGGTTTGTCAATTTTGTTTATTTTTTCAAAAAACCAGCTTTTAGCTTTGTTAATTTTTGCTATGCTCTCTTTAGTTTCTTTTGCATTTATTTCTGCCCTGATTTTTAAGATTTCTTTCCTTCTACTAACCCTGGGGTTCTTCATTTCTTCCTCCTCTAGTTGCTTTAGGTGTAGAGTTAGGTTATTTATTTGACTTTTTTCTTGTTTCTTGAGGTAGGCCTGTAATGCTATGAATCTTCCCCTTAGCACTGCCTTTACAGTGTCCCATAGGTTTTGGGTTGTTGTGTTTTCATTTTCATTCATTTCTATGCATATTTTGATTTCTTTTTTGATTTCTTCTATGATTTGTTGGTTCTTCAGAAGCGTGTTGTTTAGCCTCCATATGTTTGAATTTTTAATAATTTTTTTCCTGTAATTAAGATCTAATCTTACTGCACTGTGGTCAGAAAAGATGACTGGAATGATTTCAGTCTTTTTGAATTTACCAAGACTAGATTTATGGCCCAGGATGTGATCTATTCTGGAGAAGGTTCCGTGTGCACTTGAGAAAAAGGTGAAGTTGATTGTTTTGGGGTGAAACGTCCTATAGATGTCAATTAGGTCTAGCTGGTCCATTGTGTCCTTTAAAGTTTGTGCTTCCTTGTTCATTTTCTGTTTAGTTGATCTATCCATAGTTGTGAGTGGGGTATTAAAGTCTCCTACTATTATTGTGTTACTATTAATTTCCTCTTTCATACTCGTTAGCGTTTGCCTTACATATTGCGGTGCTCCTATGTTGGGTGCATATATAATTGTTATATCTTCTTCTTGGATTGATCCTTTGATCATTATGTAGTGTCCATCTTTGTCTCTTTTCACAGTCTTTATTTGAAAGTCTATTTTATCTGATATGAGTATTGCGACTCCTGCTTTCTTTTGGTCTCCGTTTGCATGGAATATTTTTTTCCATCC